GAGAGAGAGAGGTCTCTGGCCAGGGAGATTATAGGATCTGCCTCAAAATGAACTTTAGTCAGTGGAGACAACTGTTGGAGACACTTTGCTTGCAGGAGAACATCTGAGCCAGTGAGAGGAGGATTTGATGTAGATGTGGGTGTTTGGGCAGAAAATGACCAGATGGGATCTCTGCCCCATGTGGGCATCTCATTGCTGATTGTCTTGAGTTCGGACCCCTGGGTTCTGTTGCACGGTTGAGCACATCTTTCTCTGACCTCTGCTCCAGAAAGGAATGGGGTCACTTGAGGAATGGAAAGAAGATGCTGGGCTGGGGCCCAGAACCAGCCTGGGCCTTCTAAGAGTTGGCCTACTAGGACCATTGCCTTCATTTTATCTGGTCTCATAGGGCCCTTCTGGGCACACTCACCACCCTTCCTACATCACCCTGTGTCCCTGTGCTGACCGAAGGGTACCTGCCAGCCCCAGACAGACACCAGGTGATCTGGAGTCCATGGAGGCAAAGGAGAGGTTTCAGAGCTTGACCCTTCTCTTAAGTTCTTGATACAAGAGACAGAAGAGCACCCTGGGATGTCCCAGGACAGCAGCACAAAGGAAGGGAGATTCTCATTAGTGTTCCACCCCATGCAAAAGTTACATTCTCTCCTTAGGATGACCTTAGTATTTTGGAAGTTAAAGAAGAGCTTTTTGACTTTTCAGTCTACCTAAGAATAAGACTCATTAGAAAACAGGAGGCATGCCTAGGTCACCTCTGAGGCAGAAAGATGGGAAGTCTGTCATTAATTGTTCAGTCAGCCCACACTGGTATCCCTTTGTGGAGAAGCAGGGCTGAGGCCCTGGCTCAGGGCAATGCCTGCAAAGGGCGCAGATGTCTTTAGACCAGCAGTTTCCTCTCAGTTCTTGTCCAGGACTTTGAGGAAGAGATACTGGTGTGGGTCAAGGCCCATGAGCCTTGAGCCAGGGAAGGACCCATGATACGGACTGCTTGACATTTGCCTCTTGGAGTAGCCAGAAGACAGAATGATTCCCTGAAACTTCTGAGAGGAGAAATTGTAAAAAAAATCTCACAAATTATTGATTCAAGTTATTTAATTATGAAAGTTGTCATAGAGTCTTTAGGAAGACTTAGAAGTTGGTTGCTGGGTGTGAAGTGACAGAAGGAGCCTTGGCCACTGAGAGGTGCACTTTGTTGCTGCCTTCTCAGGACCGGGAGGCGAGAGGGAGGGCATACTTGTCTGAGACACCCTCCTGTTTCTTGCTGATTTGGACCCAGAGACAGTGTGTTCAGATGGAGGAATGACCCCAAAGAATCCCGGATTCTTCCTGAACTGTCTGCTCTAGTAATTATTTTGGCTTTTAAGCCAGAAGAAGACAAACAACTTTTTTCATTCCTGACCAAAGTATGAAGACAATAACTCATGAAAGAAGAAGAAACTCGCCCTTGTGGCTGAGTCCAGGAGTGAGACGAACACGTGGCAGTGTGATGGCTTCCAGTCTGCCGAGTGGCTCTGGGAGAAAGCATCAAAGCCGCCGCTGCTTGTGTTTCTTCTTCTAGCCAATATGTTTTCTTTTTGTTGACATGGGGAACATGGAATCACGCAGATGTTTATCTGCAAGGATTCACGTGGTGACACATGAAACTGTACTTTCTAACCAGGGGAAGCACAACTACAGGGTCTACCCTTCCCTCTCCTGTGATCAGATGGGCCTCAGAACCAGTTCTTTCTGGGCCTCTCCCCCTTCCCTGTCTCCCTCCCTGGGACAAGAGGCTGACATTTCAGGCCAACAAGGTCAGTTTCTTGACATTCAGCACTGAAAGGAAGGTCACGAGGCTGGGCCTGAGTAATTTTTCATCACAGAGCTGCTGTATATGCCTGTAGCAGGAAGAGGCTGGGGTAGACCCTCCGTAAGGCAGGTTCTAGCTTTGGCTTTGACTGGAGATTGGGCTAGTGCCTGAAAGACTGGGCTTTTCCAGAACTGGAAGGTTCCCTGGAAAAAAGGGATGGTCCTCCAGGCTAAAGTTTCTGTGGTGTATAGTAGGAAATACATGGGTTCCCACAAAACCCAGGGTGGTTAGACTTTGTTCTCAAGGTTGAGGAGGGGTAGAGGCCCAGTGGCAGACAGATGGTTGCTCAGTATTATTAACCTAGAAGTGTTTCTTCCTTCTTTGGCCTAGTTTTTGTTTGGGAAGGGAACTTCTAACCTAGGAGGAGTAGTAGAATGATGGTAAGAGGACCAGAATCTTGGACTGAGCTTATCTTCTTTGTCTAGGCACTGTGAAACCTTCCGTCTATCCAGCCTTGCTCCTCAGCAGAGGACACAGTGGAGAGAAGCCACTTCCAATTCTAGCGCTTCTCTTTTGGTTCAACCCAAACCCTGCTAGGGTTTAGATGAAGTCCTCAAGGTGCCTAAGGGTCCTGGCTCTAAGAACCTGGAGTTACAAAGAGTAGGGAGGACCAAGAGGCCTTAAGAGGAATCCTTTGCTAGGAGTGGATTCTCTCTGTGTTCTATCCCTATCCCCCACACACTTCAGCTATTACTGTGGTATTTACAGCATATCTAGGGTGAAGTCTTAATTAGACTAGTGTTTCTCTAACTAAACATTTCCAGTCTTAGTTACAGAAACAACTAGCAGCAACATCTTTCTGGAAGTTTGTGGTCCAAGAAAGGTCTTTTCTGTGCCATATCCTACCACTTCTTTAGCTCTGCAGGGCAGCCAAATCCAGCGCATTCCTGCTAGGGCCCCCTGGAGAAATAGCACTTGTCTCTCTTCCCTTCCATGGCAGAGCCATGGTCCCCCTCTCTGAACCCTGGACTCCACCTCTGCCCTCCAGGAAGAATTGCAAAGACCTCTTCCCATCTCCCTTTCTGCCCCTGAGCTCCTAGTCTCTAGGCCATGGGACAATCATCCTATTCATCCCCGGACATCCCCGATCCCACCTCAATCTCCAGCAGGCTGGCCCCACTCCCTCTCCCTTCTGTCTTCTTCCAGAAGATGCATTTTGGGTCTACAAGGAGCGTATTCTGGAAGGACACCCTTCAACACCCCTGCTTTGCTGATGCAGAGCAGGGATTTGCACATGGTGTAGAGAGCTGCCCCCCCACCTCTCTGCCCCGCCTTGTTTACCTCACTCTTGCTCCGGCCACGGCTGTGATGGGCCCAGCCAGCTCCCTGTTTTGATGTTCTGTGACAGCTCAGGGGTCTTGAGACTCGTGGTCCTCAGCAGGCCTGGGAGCCCAGATTGGACCTTTGGCTCCTGGTACGAAGCACCTTGCCTGCCAAGACTTGTTGATGCCAGACGACCTCCCCAACACATGAAGGCTTGAAGGACATTGTCATCTCTACCCCTTGGCCCTCCTTGCTTCTCTCAACACAATAAGACATTGCAGAAGCAGAATGGTAGCATGTGCCCCAGGCAAGACAGCTGGCTCTGTCTGGGTCATTGATCCTGGGCTTGGTTGCCAGGTGGAGACTGCAGAGTAAAGCAACCATTTTTGCCAGTGGAAGAATGTGGTGCCCCACCTTTCCTTACACTGCACTAGGGCGAGACCACTCTCTGCATGGACCAGAACATCTTCCCGAACCCATGGTGCTCCTCCCCCACACTCAACCTAGACCCAAGGGGGGGAGGGATGAATCAGAGGCCTTATGGGCCCCTACATATTCCTGACGTGGAGTGGAGTGGGTGAGGCAGAGGGAACAGCCCCCAACACCTGCACTGGGCCATATGTGGAAAGGTTGATTGCAGTGGAGTTGTCTGGCTGTCTGTATTTGGATCTGTAACTGTACTTTGCCTGGCGCTGTGCGCAAGGTCTGAAAACTTACTGCTAGTACCTAGAAACATACAAGGCTACCCAGCCAAATCTTAATGTAAATTAGCTAGAGCCATGGAAGTACAGTATGAATTAAAAGAAAAAAGTATTGAATTACAACTAATGGTGTGTGTGTGTGTTTATTGCTTCGACTCACCAGAGGTCATTATCCCAGATGTTTCTGGTCTCCCAGATGTGCTCTGGCCTTCTCTTCCTGGCAAGCCCTGAAGGCTGTGTGAACACGCAGCCATTCATCTCAGGCTAAGGGAGACAGCCTGATCAAGTACAATGGGAAAATTTTGGGAGCTGACCTGAGTTCAAGTTGCAGCATGACTGTTGGCCAGCTTGTGCATAGGGCCCACCTGCCACGCCAGCCCTCAGTGCTTTAGAGATAATGTAAATGTTTTGAAAAATATCCGTATATCTCATAGTGTAGTGGCAGGTACTGCACTGAAACAACTTCAGCTGAAAAGTCAGTACCACAGTAGGCGCTGTGGTGGACTGAGTCCTCAGGGCTTCTTGGCTGCTCCCTTTCATGATCCAGCACTTTGAGGGTGATGGACACAGGCGGCATGGCCATAGGCTACCTAAAGTGACAGAGCTGAGGGCCAGTGTGTCCTCTTCTGAGATCTTCCTTATAGTTAGCTCCTCACTGCCTGGCTAGGGAAGTTGTTTGACACTAGGCAAAAACTCAAATTTCTCTTGTATCCCTTGGTATTTGGGTAGGAGAGCCAAGAAATAACAGCTAGACCACATGTAGTGTACATTCCACTCTAGACTACAAAACATGTCTTCCATTCTCTGGGTACATCCACTGATTGGGTAGGGATGTGATGTAGTTTGGGGTGCTAGGTGGAGGCCATAGTCTATACAGCTGATACACTCAGTAAATAGAGCAAAATCTGAGCCAGACATTTTTAGAGACACTTTATTGACATGAACTAGGAATTTATTGAAAAACAGTACATACAGGCATTAGGCTATTGAGGTCTTGGGTGGTCAGGAACAACAGTTCTACAGTTCAGAAAAAGACTGGTTGTGGAAAATCAAGAAATTGTGATGCGGAGGTGACACTATTCCATCTGTCACAGGACTAAGTGTTTGCTAATGGCATCTGGTGGCCTTTCATCTCCCAAACTTATTACTACAAATTCTTTGGGGTCTTCCTTCCCTTTATACCTACTACGCAAGCATTGCAGCTCTGGCCCAGTGGTGACAGGAAGGACAGAACAATTCTAGCTCTGAGGTTTGCTGGCCTAGGAAGAGATGGGGAGTAGGAACCATGGTAAACTCAGCTAGGAGGAAGTGGGCTGCCTACTATGTTAGCATTTAGAGACTGAGGTTTAGGTGATGCTGTTTTTCAGACCTAAGACATGGGGTCTAGGTGAGGGCTTGAAAGAGTGGGTGCTGAAAAATGCTTGCAGAGTGAAGATCGGACTGATGGGTGAGCACAGCGAGTACTACTCAGATAGGTACTTTTGCAGTGACTGGGTGAATTCACCGAGTTTAGGCTTTCTCAAGGGGTAGACTTCCTCCTGTTGTATGTTTTTACATTTTCCTGTGAAATTGGGAAAAGGGAAAGAAGACAGTTGAAGTACATCCAGCTCTTTTCTTTGGTCTTCTTTCTTGAGACAGGGTCTTACTATGTATGTAGTTCAACCTAGCCTTGAACTCTAGCCCAGGCTGGCCTAGAACTCATGGCAATCCTCCTGCCTCAGCCTCCTGAGTGCTGGGATTATAGTTGTACACCACCACACCTGGCATAACTCTTGCTTCTCTTTCTTCCTGTAAAGATGCAATCCCAGAGCTTTTCTCCTCTGATTTACGTCAAGTGAGTCCACAGATGCTAAGAAAAGTAGTGTATCAATGTGTGATGGAGCCTCTCTGTCCAGGTTGGTTTCAAATTCCTCAGCCCAAGTGGTCCATCTGCTTTCATCTCTAGTAACTGGGAATACAGGTACAGCTATCATGCCCACCTCTTTTTTTTTTTTTTTCCTTTTTGATGTATTTTTGAGGGGAGAAGAGGGCATTACAGTCTCCTTTAAAACCATTTACTACTCTATACATTTCTCAGCATATTCCTGATTTGAAAAAAATCCCTTTCCTGCTAATATTTCTATATTGACATCTAAAGAATAAATAGACATAGGAGAAGATCTAGATAATGCAGATGTTTGAGGATGGAGAAACCAAAGTATAAAGTTGGACAGACCATGAAGGTGAAGGCTGGGTAGGGACAGGCACAGGTTGTCTGGGTATTTCCACACAAGCTTGGGGCTCTCTATGAGATTGGTAGACAATAAAGGTCAGAAGGGCAAGATGCTTTCAGGACCTACTGTGGTAAGTGATCAAGTTCATAGCTGTCAAGCAGTAAGAGTGAAAATCAGACCCAGCATAGACTGGACTTTAGTGAATCGTATTATTGAGCATCAGTCATGGGAAACACACAGCACCAAGACAACAGATCAGGTTTCTAAAGTAGTTATAGCCCTTGGGAACTCTCTAAGCCCTTTAATAGCAACAGCACACCAGATAAAGCCTTCCAGTGCTACACATATTTAGCCCGGGTCTTGTACAGGAATATGGAGAGGAACAAGATGGTGTGTGTGTGGGAGGGGGGGTAAGTAAGCTGGTGGTCACAGTACAGTGTATGTTTATAGTAATGATTGAGCCTCCCAACAAGGAGTTTAATTGCATTTGTGGAGAAATAATGACAAGATAATGAGAGAGAGAGAAGTAGAATGGGAGGCAATCAACACATAGTTTCTAGAATCCACCAAGAAGTGAAAGAGTAGAGAAGCAAGAGTAGGAATAACATTGAAAGAGAATGGTGAACCTCAGAACAAGCAACAGAAGTAAAGCACTGGAAGAAAGTTAAGACAGGAAGTAGGTATGGCCCGAGTGGGAAGTTAACTGGAATAGGAGCTGGAAGACCCAGATTCTAGGTCAGTCTAGACCATGATCACTACTGATCAGGCAAGGGACCTGGTAGGTGATAAAGCTTCTTAATATCAGGAAGCCTTGGTTTCTTCATTGAGTATTAATAACACTCACTGTATGGGATCATTAGGGAGATGAAATAAAATAACTGAAATGGAAATCCTTTCCAAGCCACATAGCTATGATGAAAGCATCAGGAAAAGATGAAAAGTTAGGAAAAAAGAAGAGAGAAGATAATTCACAAAGGATCAATTACCAGTATCATTCAACTTCATTAAAAATAACTCAGAGAACATCTGAGTTAAGCTGTTTAAAAAGAAAAGAGAAGAGCAGCCATGCAGACTACCTGGTTATGTGTTAGACCCACGACCCACTTGCTATTTCTGCAAGCTGGCGTCAACCAGCTTTGTGGTTGGGTACGCCTCCTGCTTCAGGCTCATGTTCCTTCAAGTGAGAAAACTGTCCCTTGTTATCTCCCTATTTCAGAAGGACAGTGTGGAGAATTACTAGTAAGAAGAGTCTTGAACTTACTGTGAATATTTTTTCAAGAAAATGGGATTCACCAAAATATGTTAAGAACCTTGTTTCCAATGTGTCCTCAAGGATGAAAGAGATAAAGCAAAATGAACCTGCGAGGTTAAGTCCAAAGCTAACAGGGAATGGTTTTCCATACACATTTTCCCCCAGATCTGAGGAGTATTTCTTTTATTCAATCCTAGTCACTTTTCATCTTCTTGCCTACCTTTACTTATCATTAGGTGCTAAAGGATATTGTTATTGGTTAAAATTTTTAAAAAAGTTGACTAAATTTTATTTCATTGTTTGCTCTCTAAATCTAGGAGAAAAAAAAAAAAACAAACTGAACATTACAGACTCATAGGTGAGGTATTTGGAAGCCACTCTTTCTCCCTTCACTCTGCTAGCCATCTATTTTAGACTAAAAAAAAAAAAAAAAATTCCATATGTCTGTCTTTCTCTTTTACTGAGAATTAAATCTGGGGCTTTCACACTGAGCAACATCCTTAGCCTTTTTATTTTTTATTTTTTTAATGTTGAGATAGGTTGTCTCAGAGTTGCTAAATTGCCCAGGCTGGATTCAAACTTATGATCCTCTTACCTCTGCCTCTCACATTGTAAGCGTGTGCCCTCCTGCCCAGCTTAATCGGCATTTCTCTTAGTTGGAATGGCATTCTCAGATGTAATCTCATTCTGTAAGATATTTCAGGTCACCAACTTTTAGAGGAAATTCTCCACATCCACTTCATGTCCTCCTCTCTGATTTCTCCAAGAGTTTGTAGCTTCTGGGAATGGTCATTGGAACCCCAGGTGGATCATCCATCTCAAACGTGTGCTTCTGCGGGAGGTGTGGCTACAGCGAAGCTCAGTGTCCAAGTCTTTTCAGAAACAAAACCCTCTATCCCAGGGGCAGTGCCCAAAGCTCATCACTGCCCCGCTTTGTTCTCTTAAGTTTATTACCCAGTGGAGCCCTATGTGAGTCTCAGATGCCTCCTGTAAAATGAGGAATAATACTGACCCACAGATATTTTGAGAGGAAGAACTTAGGAGTTCCAGTCCCAATCCACAGGTGATATGCTGTCTAGGAAGAGCACAGAGAATGTCATCCCAATAAGATAAGGAGTTTGTCCTATGGCCTTTATGAGCCATGTAAATTGTCCTTGGTCCTTCCCAAGTCTGTCACCTTTGGCTTCTCAGGACTGTGTGCAGTGCAGGTCTTAGCAACGTATGGGGATTGCGCCCTGAGTACTAGGCTCCAGAGAGCACTATAGTTCATGCTTAAGGATCTTTGTCACTGAAGAATCTAGAGAAGCATAAGTCTCTCTGGTGCTCTAGCCAAGTGGGCCATGAACTTCAAAATCCTGACTTCACAGAGTTCAATTACACAACATGCTTTTGGTTGGATCCAACTAATTGCTTGTTCCTACTAGTAAGACCTTCTCTTGCAACAGTGGAGAATGAGCCAGTTCCAGTGAGCTAGTGGTAGAGACAGCTGATACTTGCAGCACATGTGCAAAGTTATTTGGAGGATAGGGGAGAAACCCAGTAGGCATAGGAGCTGCTTGCTTGAAAGGCAGGCCAGGGTGAGGGTGAATCTGCATAGAAATGTTGGCTCCTTAGTTCTAGCAAAGTTTTATGGTGTGTTGGAGTTCTGATAGTGTTAGGAAATCAGCAGGGCAAGCTCAGGGGCAGGTGGATAAGTGATCAATGAGCAGAAAGATGGATGCGGGAAGGGAGAGGGCCACAGGCACCCTCCTGAGGCTGTTGACATCACTGACCTTGAGATATCCAGTCCCTCCGTGTTCAGGCCACCTACCAATGATAAAGCAACTCACTGAGAAATCCAGCCCAGTCCAGGCCGAAGACACTTATCAAAGGAAACGAGAGCACTATGCCCTTGTCACCATGGGTGGTGATTTCAGGTTGCCGCTGCATTCAAGCCAAAGCTATTCACCTTCTGAAAAGCTTGACAAAATGCAGAGCTTTGTAACTTGGGTGTCAATTTAAAGTGCTCATTCCGAGGGTGGGTACACTAAGCAGAGTAGAAACTGAGCTCAGAGACCGAATTCAAATTCACTTCAGTTGTGGATGACAGAGTCTCTCTTGCAGCCTCCCGTCCGCATCCCTCTTCCCCTCCCAAGGCCTTATACGTCACCTCAAGTCACAGCGCTTCATTCCTCCACGGGTACCACTGAGTTCTCCTTGTTCTCTGATGGGATGGCAAGGTAGTCAGATCTGCATGTGACACAGGAGGGGACAGCCAGAGCTTCAGTACCCAGCAGAAGGAACACAAAGAAAAAAGGAGCAGAGCGCAGCGACAAGGATGTCTACTGAACGGTTGGTTCTGCATTTCCTTCTGCAGATCCCAAGACAAATGTAAGGCTGCCCTTTCGGAAGGCTGGAGTCATATGCTCCTCCTTTACTTGTGCAGACCACTCCCGCCAGCAGCTCCTGAGTTTTCTCATTTACCTTCACCTTCTTTGATATTACCTATGACGGCCAGATTAAAACAAGAGTCAAATATTGAAATTATATTTTGTAATTGTTTAATTTTAATTTTCTGATTTTGATGTGGAAAATCTTTTCATGTATTTATAGACTATTGGTTTCTTTCACTGTAATATGACTATATGTTTTTCTGGTTTTTTTTCCTGTGGTATTTGTCATTTTGTCATTGATTTTTCCTTGATCGTTTTATATCTTGCAAATTTCTTTATTGTTTATAAACTTTTACATGCTGCCTTACAATGAACAATTGAGTTTTGTATGTAATGTAATGAAAATGTAATGAAAATTTTTTCCTCCTTGAATTGTACCTTTCATATTTTATTTGAGAAATTCTCTCTAGTCCCAGATAATGACATTCTCTCTGATATTCCTTTAATAGCATTTTTTAAAGTTTTCCATTTTTGTCCTTAAATTAACTCATAATTTATTTTTGTTTTGTGTGAGAGATGAGGAATCTCATTTTGTTTCCTTATTTGGGTAAGAAATTTTCTCTCCAGTGCTTAATGGACAGTCAGTTCTTTCTTTAATGACAGTAATATTGCCCCTTTCACCTATTGGCTTCCTTCCACACACGAACCTGTGTTGGTGGGCTCCATCTTAAGGTCTTCATCTCTGATAGTGCAAACTCTACTGGCCATTTTCCTAACTCACTGCTGTAGGTGGGGGACGGCAAAGTATGGCCTGTAGGCCAAGAATGACTGTTACGTCTTTAAAGTGTTTCACACAAGCAAAAGAACAATGTGGATAGGGACCATAGGGAGCTTTGCAAAACCTAACTTTTTTTTTTTTTTTTTTTGGCTGGCTCAGGCTGCCTTAAGGGTGGGTCTGGTAAGGCATGTGGAGCTGGGGATGGAACTGAGATCCCCTGAGCCTGACTGGGTTTGCCTAAGCAGGCGCTTAAACAACTGAGCTAACCCGCAAACCAGAAAACTTAAAATATTTACTACTTGGCTGTCCTTTGACTTATCAATGATCTTTGATCCTTTGGCCTTCTAATCTTTAAGATCAGTTTATCAGACTGGGCATGATGATGTGTGGTGGCACATGCCTGGGATTCCAGCACTCTGGTTGGCGGAGGCCAGAAGATTGAAAACTCATGCGCAGCCTGGGCAACATGGTGAGATTCCCTGTGTCAAAATTAGAAATAAAACAAAAACTGTCTGAGGGCCTTGGGTTTAATCCCCAGTGGGGGGGGGGGGGGGGTGGAGGAAGAATGAAAGAATGAAAAAAGTAATCATATTATCAAATGTCTAAAAAATGGGGATTTTGATTGAAATTTCATTGAACTTGAAGATTAAATTGAGGGAGATTGTTTAGAATAATGAGACATTAGTCATTACCTATTTGCTTTTTCTTATGCTTTTCTGTAAAGTGTTTTTTTTTTTTTTTTTTTTAATTTGGTACAGGGTCCCACTGGGATTACAGTCATACCTTACCATGCCTGGACTTGTGGGCTGGCTTAGTGCACCAAGGGGCAGGGCCAGCGCAGCATGGGGTACCAGGAATTGAACCCCGGTCCCTGCACTCTATAAAGTTTTATAATTCTCTCCTTGAAGGCCTTGCACATTTTTGTCCGATTTATTTTAAGGTCCTAGAAAATATTTATTGTATTAATATTTTTAAATATTTAAATGTTTCTAAATGTATTGTTGGCCTGTATGCATTTTATACAGTCTCATGTTGCTCCTTAACAGGGACATGTTTTGAGAAGTGTACCACTAGGCATGCAATTTCACAGATTAAAAGATGGCAATGGTTCTGGCATTACGCAGTGTTATGATGTTAGGAGACCTCCGTGGTATATGTGGTGTGCCATTGACCAAAATACAGGCGGCACGTGACTGAATTTTGATTTGATCAGCAATCTGATGGAATATTCTTAATAGTTCTAGTAGTTTACATATAGTCTTTGTTATTCTGTTCAAATTATTACATTATAGATATAACTGGTGATAACTCAGTTTTTTCCTCTTCAAATATTATCTTTCTTTTGCTTTGTACTTATTTGCCATACTGTCTAGGATCTCCAATACAGTACTGCATAGAACCAGGGAGAGATGGCATCCTTGATACGTTTCTAGTATTATAGACCTTTCTTCCAATTGTAGGCTATCTTAGTAGCTGCCATTTATAAGTCTGAAGGTAGCTGGTATTTTATGTATGTATGTATGTATGTATGTATGTATGTATGTATGTATTTGGTATAGGGTCTCCCTACACAGCTCAGACTCATAGAGATCCTCTTGTTTCAGCCTCCCCAGCATTGGGATTACAGGTATGTGCCACCATGCCTGGTTTTGGGGGCCAGAACAGCATGTGGTACAGGGGATTGAACCTGGGTCCTTGTGCTTGCCAGACAGGTACTTGGACCACCGAGCTGTCTACCCAGCCCTGGAGGCTGATGTTTAGATACAGGTTTATTTGTCCTACTCAGGACATGCAAATGCTCCTTGACTTATGGTAGGTTTATATCTTTACTGAAAATATTGTAAATGCAGAATGCATTTAGTAAGCCCTCCCTACGAAACATCACTATGCTCACCAACACAGCATACTGTGGAGTGATTTCAGGGCTGACTGTACTGTGCCTGCCCAGCATGGGGAGAGAGAATACTGCATATTATAGTTTGGAAGGAAAAATAAGTTGAAGTTCAAAACTTGAACTAGTTTCTACTGACTGTATACAATAAGCCCTCGAGTTACAAACGTTTGCATTGCAAACTTTCAGAGATGTGAACAGACCTTGCATTAGGAATGTTCCTAGGTGCAGGCAGATTGTGGAAGCAGCTCACAGGTCTGCTGGACACCGTCATAGGTGTGCTGCTGTGTGCTTACTGCACCGTGCATAACGTATAGCGGTACAGTGCTCAGTCAGAGCTCAGGGTGGCTGAGTGTGATGCAGAGGGGACCGCTAGGAAGCCAAAGCAATAACCATGGAAACAGAAGTGAAAATTACTGAGAGATTGGACTGAGGCCAAAAGATGGCAGAAATGCTCCACCGCCTGCTACCTCCCCTTCCTCTGGTTAATAACTCTCTTCTTGTCAGCTCACTTTTTGTAATCCCTAGATGTCCTTGTCGTACTGTGCCACCATTCTAAGATAACTGGAACAGCAAAAATAGTTCATTTGCAGTGTTTTTGTCTCTGTGTTTGTTTTTTTATGCTTTCTTTTCTTTTTTCTTTTCTTTTTTTTTTTCCCCCTGCATTCTAGGGAAAGCTCTACAGTGTTCAGAGTCTCACTACTAGGTTGGACTCTTGTTTACAGCCTCCCAAGTGCTGGGATTACAAGCACGAGCCACCACGCCCAGTCTCAATCACTGTCTCAGTGTGCCCTGGGGGCAGGGCCAGCACGGCAAGCCTGGGGATTGAACCCCCGGCCCCTGCGCCTGCTTGCGGGCGCTTTAATCTTCTGAGCTATTTGGCCAGCCCTATGCTTTACTTTGTATATTTGTGTCAAAGGTGTAGAAGACTCACTCATTTGGACTTATGATTATTCTCCTCACACAGAACTTGTTCATAAACTGGGGACTGAAGGTATTGGTTTCTTGTCCTCAGTAAGTAAAAAGCAAATGAGGGAAGTCATAATAGGGAACCATATTCATTTGCTTCATGAATTCTTGAATCTTCCCTTTCCCGGTCACTCTGTGAGTATAGTATTAGCTCTCCCTAGTTCCCTGTTCTAACCGGCCATTCCGTGTTTTTCCCTTCATGTTTCTTTGTTATATTTCATCTTTATATCTCTTGCTTCAGCCTGTGTAATTTCCTCACATTTACACTCTGCCCAGAACTATTGAATCTTTTGCTGAACTGAGCCATTGAGCTATTTTATTGAATATATATATATTTAGTACAAGGTCTACAGAGTCTCACTATGTAGATTGGACTTGTAGTGATCCCTCCTGTTTTTCAGCCTCCCAAGTGCTGGGGTTATAGGTGCGCGCCATCATGCCCGGTCTCAATTGCAGTCTGAGCGCGCCGCTGGGGTGGGACCAGCACAGCGGACTGGGGATTGAATCCCCTCCCCCTGCATCTGCCTAAGCAGGAGCTTTAATCCACTGAGCTATCCAGCCAGCCCTTGAATATATTTTTTATTTCCAGAAATTGTTATTTCTAGTTAGATCTGCCTGTTCTTTTTTCTTAGCACTTACTCTATTCTTATGCTATGGGTTACTTTCTATTGCTTTAATTGTTTTTAATTTTACTTATTTATTTTGGATACAGGGTCTTGCTACAACTCAGACTCATAGTGATCCTCCTGCCCCAGCCTCCCCAGAACTGGGATTACAGGGGTGCACCACCATGCCTGGTTTCAGTAGCGTGACATGCAGTACCAGGGATTGAACTCGAGTCCTTATGCTTGCCAGACAGCAGCTTAGACTGCCATGCGATCTCCCCAGCCCCTCTAATTATTTCTGAACAAGTGTCTCTTCGATACTTCATCAGGTCCTTTGTCTGTTTGAACTCCCTGGGACTTGATCCTGTACTTGTCACTTTTCTTGCTCATGCTGGGTTTTTCTGTGGTGGCTTACAGTTTTAGTCTAGACTGTGACAGCAGATCCAGCAGTAATTAATGTGAGGCACGCTGCCAGGCTTTGGAAGAGAGCGCGCCCCTTCAGATGGTTTGTCACTTATTTTTGTAAGACGCTCTGCTTATCATCGTCGAGGGCCTAATTTTTAACTGAATTTCCTAGCTGAGCATTTCCTTCACTGTATAAGTATCATCAAGTTAAATCCCAGACACTGGAAGAGGAGGCTTGAGGTTAGGACGTGTCACGAATCTTTCATTTTTCTGCTTGGAGCCAGGCCAGCGTGGATAAATTTCTTTGGCTTTTCCTTGTGCTGTAGAGCTGGCGGTGTCTGGGCTACGCCTTGTGTGAGTGACAGCGCTCTGCAGACTAGCTCTGTTGAGGCCTCAGTTTGAGCCCTGTTTCTTATGGGAGCCTAGTCATAGGCACTCCCTGTACAAGCCTGTATACTTTTTGCCCACACCAACACTTCCTTTCCATGCATGAGCACTTCTGGTTGAAGCACTTAAAATACAACCACGTCACCAGGAATGACAGTCTACGTTAGTGTGACAATTCTATCTATCCTTACATGTGGTAAATGATCATTTTTAAAATGTTTTTTTTTAGTACAGGATCTACAGGGTGTACAGGTTCTCACTATGTAGACTGGCCTCATAGTGATTCTCCTGCTTGCAGCCTCCCAAGTGCTGGGATTACAGGCGCGCGCCACCACACCCAGTCTCAATTGCCCTCTCAGTGTGCCCTGGGGGTGGGGTTGGCATGGCAGACTGGGGATTGAACCCCAGCCGCTGCACTCTGCCTAAGCAGGCACTTCAGTCTGCTGAGCTATCTGGCCAGTCCTTGTAAATGATCATTTTTAACTCACTGAGATTTTAGACATCATGCAAAAGGAAGCTTGCTTTATTTTATCAAGCATTTCCACATGGCACTAGCATAGGCTTTTTAAATTATTGCCTTAGGAATGTTGGCAGAAATGCATGAGGTTGTTCTCTTTGATTTCTTTTTCTTTTCTCTTTCCTCTCAAACAACAGGCCAGCATGGTCTCTCAGGCCCTTCTCAGCTCATTGCTTGCATTTGCTCACCGTTGAGCATGTAGAGTCTTGGTGAAAATCATGAAAGAACATCTGGATATTAAGAGTCTCTACTCTGGGTATTCAATTGCTGCCATGTTCTAGGGGAAGGAAAACATACTGCTTAGTGTTTGCCAGTGAGTAAAGGGCAGTGCCCAGTCAACCTCATGGTGTAGAGCAAAGAGCTGAGAATGGCAGAAAGAGCAGGGGCATCAGGATTACGGAGGCCGGGTTTCAAGCCCAGTTTCTCTACTCACTGTGCATCTGGCCTCAGCAAGCCACAGAAGCTCTGAGAGCCTACTTCAACATTTACAAAATGGCTATAGTAATGCTAACTTTATGGTGTTGTGGCGCCAGATGGCCCAGAGTTGGCAGACCTGACTTTAAACCTTGATTTGCCTCCCACAGTGGCCCTAGGCAAACTCTTCTAGACTTAGTATTTCATCTATAAGATAGGTAGGACAATGGGGCCCTCTTCGGTTGTTAAAAGGGGGAAGGTGGAGGACTTATGTTGATCTCTTAATAACTCACCTGGGACAACAAGCATTTAGAAGATGGCAGCTATAATTTTTTTTTTTTTTTTTAGGCAAGGTATTGTTATGTAATTCAGACTGGTGTTGAATTCACTATGTAGTCCAGGCTGGTCCCAAACTCATGATCCTCCTGCCTGAACCTCCCAAGTGCTGGGATTACAGGCATATGCCACCATGACTGGCTGGTAGCTATAATTCTTATCTTTGGACTTACGCATTTTCCTGGGCTGCCTCTTCAGCCTTGGAGACCTTTCGGTAGCAGTATATCATCTCAATGAGCAGCCACAAGGTGAGGAAGACTAGGAGAATGTACATCATGATTTCTGAGACCACAGAGGTGAAGTCTTCTCCGGCTGCAAGAAGGAGAATAAGGTTCAGGATGTATTTCCCACAAGCCAAAGCTGTTATGGGGGGGGGTGTCATAAAAAAAGGGCTGGCCAAATAGCTCAGTGGATTAAAGCACCTGCAAGCAGGCAGAGGGGCCAGGGGTTCGATCCCTGGGCCTGCCATGCCGGCTCTGCCCCTGGGGTGTGCTGAGATGGCAATTGAGACTGGCTGTGGTGGCGCACGCCTATAATCCCAGCTCTTGGGAGGCTGTAAACAGGCGGATCACTATGAATCTGATTAGTAGTGGGACCCTGAACACCTTGGAGACCCTTAAAGATATAGTATTTATATCTTAAATAAGCACTGAGTCTACAGGAACTCAATAAGATATCAAAGAAACAATGTACTGTCCCCTCTGTCTCTCCTGACTGTCAGCTTCCTCACTGATCCTCACTGGCTGTTAGAGATAGAGCAGAGGAGAGTGATGGGTAGAAGAAATAGTAGAATTCTGGGAGCAGAGAAATAAGAGACAGAGCCCAACTGTGTTACTTACTCACTCATATATAAGCAGTCCCTGCCCTTGTTGGAGTCTCAGTATCTATTGTAACTCATACCGTCGGGGTTGTTGTGAATGTCACATTACATAGTGCATTTAGGAATGTCCTATGTGGGACAGTGATAAAGCCCAGAGCTAGAGCACTATCCTGGCATGCATGAGGCCCAAGGCTCCACCCCCAGCATCACAAATAATACTTTTGAGAAGATTATCTTTTGAGATGTACTAGTCTAAGGAGAACAAGGAACACACCTTGTGCTAACCATCTAAGACCTCTTGAGTTAGAGGTGGTGCCCCTAGAGAAAGAGCACTGGCTATTCCATGCATGGACACCCAGTCATCCCATCTAATGACAGCAGCATGTTCTCCCCAAACATGGATAAAAAATAAGGCCCTCCAGGTCATCCCAAACCTAAGCAGGAATGAGCACTGTAGATTCAGTCAGTGTATAGCAGGTGATTGAAAAATATAGTATGCTTTTTTAAACAAATGACAGTAGAAGACATGTGGCCATTAATCACCCTCAAACCCACTGTCTCTACTACCCCAGTCATCACATGGAACATACATATCCCACTGTTCTGGCCACTCTCTGAAGCAGTTCTGAAAGTCCTCTTTCTGCAGGGTCTTATGAGGTGTGATAAACCCTCAGTCCAGGGCAGGACAGGCTCATAAAATGTTCCAGTGCGCCCTCCCCATCTTAGTCACCAGATCTGTCAACATTTCTAGCTCTTCCCCAAAGACCAGGAACGGCAAACACTTTGAATCAGGTCAGGACATCGGTGCAACCATATCAAAAAGATGCTCACAAAAAAAGGATTCCAGAACTGCTTGAGAAAGTGTCCAGAAGGGCTGGAGGATAGCTTGGCGGTCTAAGCACCTGCCTGGCAAGTGCAAGGACCTACACTCGATCCTCCAGTACTGCATGCTGTGCCAGCTACCAAAACCTGGTGTGATGGCTCATGCCTATAATCCCAGCACTGGGGAGGCTGAGACAGGAGGATCACTACCAATACAAGCTGTGTAGCGAGACCCTGTACCAAATAAATAAATAAATAAAAATGTCAAGAATGACAGGATAAGTATACCTGAAGCAAAATGGAGTATTCTGAGGGGGATTAATGACAATGTGTCTTTCACAGTAGATTTTTAAACAACACTCGCCAAATTTTTAAACTACTCTTCATACTCATCAGATCAGAATTCTACCTCTGAAACACAGATGGGATCCTACCTCTTCTCTGCTGAAAAGCCTTCAGTGTTCCACGTTGCCCCACGACAAAGCCCAGACTCTACTGCCACGGCATGCACGGACTCCCACAGTGCTCTCGCCTGGGCCTCACGTGCTTGGCCACAACTCCTTCATACTGCAACATATTAGGATCTGTGCATGTTGCTGCTTCTCCTTCCTTCGTCTTACATTATATCTCCTACCTGCCACTACCTCTGTTCTGGAAACTTCTCTTGCTTTCCAGCTTCCCAGGGGGTCTCCTAAACTCCACTGAGTTCCTTGTCATGAAATCTCCCTCAGCTTCTCAGACAGAGTTATGATGTCCTTTCTTACGCCTGCTTCCCTCCACTCACTGTAAGAAGTCTCAGGTTGAATGGTGGCGGATTTCTTTTTTCTCCTGACTGTGTGCTTAGTGAGCCCATACTTATTTCTGGATTCCCATCCTATTGTCTCATCTTGGAAGATTGTAATTATTCAATATTTGTTGAATGAGTGAATATAAATGTTGAACGTTTTTGTTTCATGATCAAGAAACATGACATTTAATAAAAATAATACATAGCAAATATCCTGATATAATTCTTCCTAGGGGGAGGGAAGTTGTGGCCACTCCTCCTCCCTGCTGCCTGCGAATTAAATTCACAGTCTTCAGTTACCCACATGGCCCAGGTTACCCTCGTGCGCTTGTCTGATAAAAGTACAGCAATGACCTGTGGTCATGCCTTTCAGCTCCGAGGAGCAGTTCAAGGCCTCTAGGATCTCCCAGTTTTCCTAAATGGAGGTGGAGGTCACAGACGCAACATGAGGTGTCTAACAGTGCCACAGCCCTCAGATGTCTTCTTACAGGCTTGAGCTGCCCGATACATTATTTATGATATGTTTGGCTCCCAGCATGCCATCTTCACTTAGCTGCAATAGCCCAGCAGCAATCACATGGGAAGCCGCCCTCAGGCTTCAGTTGCCTCTAGTGAAGAGGCCCCAGGTTCCTTAAAGTCAGGCGGTGAGAACCCAAGCCAACAACCACAAAGAGAGCCAGGGCCACAGGAACGGGTGGCAGGCGTCACGGAAAATTTATGCGCAGCTCCAACGAATATGTGAGACAGTCCCAGAGGCAAAAAGAAAAAGGGGCAGGGGTGAGGGTATGGTGGTAGAAGGAAAGATGCATAGGAGTAGGGTCAACCCAACAAGCAAAGGGGTCTTGCTCCATGGCCCCAAGCAAACCCCTCACTGCTTCCGAGCTGTTTCTCAGCTGCAAAATGAGGGGCACCACAACTGCACTCTCCAAGCAATGGGTGGGTTCACCTCCACATACGCATGCCAGCCCAGACCCCAGGCCTACCAACTCACACCTGCAAGGGTGGCTTGGAGGTGCCTATGCCTAGAGAACTTTTCCCTAGATGAAATATCTGCACTTCTTTACAGCTCCACCACCTGCAAGGCTCTGTGACTCTAATGACACATTGGCTTATCTTTCTTTTCCTTCCAGAAGCCTGCTCTGGGGCTCAGCAGGTAGACTAGCTCAGCTGTCTCTGGGGACCAAAGCCTGAGCGAGCAGGAAGTGAAGCCAATCACCTTCCCAAGGTCTGGCAGGCACTAGTCAACAGTTCCTGATTGTGAACAGGAGAGGGCACCAGGTTTCCTTGGGGGTGGGGGTGATGAAAGGGTACAAACAGAAGAGGAAAATAGAACATCTGAGCAGATGCATCCCATAGACAGCTTTCCCACCCAACTCTTGCTTTTCACACAAGAGGAAACAGGGTCAGAGAAGGGGAGTGATTCATCAGGCTTGATTCAGGTGACCCAAGTATTCTGTACCTTTACAATGACCTACTGTCACCTGCTTTCAATACCTGACCATGTATACTTCATTATCTTATCATAGTGGCATGATATGAAACTGCCATGTAGTCTAGAGGTGAGGATTCCTAGATGCTTATTCTAGGAAGAGCCCTCTCTTTAACTTGACCACTTTTTTTCATGCCCCACTGTTGGGCGGCTGCTCACCATCCTGCGTCTCAGGCCCATGAAAATGTTAAGACCTCTCGGGAAACAACATCAAGAAAGGCTGAGCCAAGTGGCATCCCTCTTTCAGCCTGGGTGAGAAAATACAAAGGGAGATGCGCATGTCACACTCCCATATGCAGTGTCGTCTGGGGGTGGGGTGGGGGTGGGGGGGTGGCGAGCAGCAGAGCTCAGAGTCCATTGGAGGTGGCACAAAAGCACTGTGTGAGTCCCAGAGCCTCACAAGTTCCCTCCCCTTCAAGGTTCTGGACTCCGGCTGCAAGCGGAACACTGAGTTAAGTTGCTGAGAGGATGCCACGCACTACCAAAGAGCCCACTGAAGGACTGTGAAGACTTTAAATCAACGATGTGAAAAGCCTGGCTTCTTCTCTCAACTGAGAAGGGATTTATGTAGAGATGCCACAGCTGGAGAAGGGGCTTATGATTATTGTGGAGAAAGACAAAGGACAAGCAGTTTATTAGATGTTGATTCAGAGTTCTCAAAGTGGGGTTCCTGATGGTATCAGCATCCGCCGGTGACTTTACTAGACAATGTAAATTCTATGGAGTCAGAAAATTTGTGTTCCAGAAACCCTTTGGGGCTTTCTGAATCTTCAGAACTACTGGCATGAAGGTATAGGTTGCTTACAGACAGAAGGTGATACGATTTCTAAATAACAACATAAGATTTCTCTGAGCTGCATGAGTGAGGGGTTTGATATAGGCCAAGGAAAAAAGAACAGCCCCAAAATGCAAGTTAGTCAAGTGATTTTCAGGAAATTGGCTGTTTGAGGGAGACAGATTCAAATGCATGTTTTTGTTTTTTTTTTTTTTACTCTCCAAGGGTCTCAGACATCCTCCCCCACACACCCCTGAAAAGCAGGATACCACAGAGACTCTATGCCTAAGCCTCACCCTCCTCAGTGACTCGGAGAGGGATCAGCCTCGTGGTCTTCACAAAGGGCCGATGCGCCTCAAACTCGAACTCCCGGGACACATTGCAGGTGTAGAGGCCGGAGTCATTCAGAGTGACATTGAGCACAGTGATGGACACGTCCTGCAGGTCCTTGCTCCCGTTCCACTGCAGGCGTCCCTGGAAGGGACTCTCCACCTCCTGATGACCATTGCGGTATTCGAAGATCTGCAGGTAGAGAAATGGAGCAAGTAGAACCAGGAGAGGAGAGAAAGGAGGAAATGGACAGGGAAGCGGTGAGGGGGGAACCCACAATACGTGGGTGGGAAGAAGAGGTGCAGAGGAGGTCAGGAAAGACAGCCCAGGCAGAAAACTGGACAGTGGCCAACAGGCTTCAAGATGTGAAGACACAGAAAGGGAAGAGGCAGCAAGGGGTAAATGGGCGCAACTTGACAGGAGGAAAGAGTGGAAACAAAGGAAAGCATACAGGAGGCCAAGAGGGGGAAATGAGGGAAAGAAAGAGTGGTAAGGAGCCAGATGGGGAGTCTCAGAGGAAAGCCTGCCAGGGAGAGAACAGGGTGTACAAACCAAGAGAGACAGCTTCCTTGGCAATGAAAACTCCTGACCGCCATGGCTGTACATCCTGACCCTCTGAGCTGATGCCCACCCAGGGTCTATGGGGTTGCCCAGGCCAAGCCATGGGAAGGGAGTCCTGGGTGCTGAATGGTGATCTGAACGCCTTCCTCTGAGAGGCCCATGGCAGGGCATTTGCTTTGGGTTGAATTAGAACTGAAATCTCTGAAATTTCTTTTCTCAGATACTGCCACCCTCTGACATGACACGCTTTCTTTTCCCTCTACAGTTGTGCTCTTTATTCTACCAAGCACGTGGGACCACTTCAGTTCAAATGCAAATTCCTAGAAGTTAAATGCAAACATCCGTCCCTCAGCTGCATCCTCTCCTCAGCGTGGACAGACCCAGAACAAGTACAGGAAGCGGGTGTGTGACCTTGCCTGAGGCCCACAGGCCCCTGCCCATCTGGCCAAGACACCAGCTTCCTGCAAGCCTGGCAGAATTCTCCTTTAGCTTCACTGATGTGCCACTGTGAAGCCCCCACCAGGCTCCAGGAAGTCTCTGCCTTTCCTCACCTTGGCACCTGATCGGAACCGACCTAAATTAAAATGCTACGTATAACTTAAGAGTTAGAAATGAGTTCAGTTTTAGGCATCTAGGAAGAAGAGCAAGAGATATTCCAGTATACTCACAGTTATCTCCATGAAAAGCCTTTGTGGAGGAGAAAGATGGCCCCAAGAAGGCAAGGTAGAGCTGTAAACAGGGCACCAGATGAGCTGGCAGACCACCTGGCTCAAATCTAAACTATTACTAAGTCAACCTCTTTGGACCTCGTTGTTTCTGTTTCTTCTTGCAAACACTTACCACAGTGTTGGTTATATTCCAAGAACTATTTTAACTACAATAAAAATAAGGTCTCGTGGGTCTTGGTGACAACCTTGTAGTTTATACCCACATTTTAAAATAAGCAAACTGGAGTACCAAGGGTTGGGACGATGGGCCCAAGTACACTGAGACAAGTAGTGGAGCAAAGGTTCAACCCCAGGCTCTTCACCCCAGAGTCAGCCTCAATGGGGATCATCTCCAAAGTGGTTCTCTATATACGTAGCAACCACATTGGCACTGGGACAAACCAACCAGGACTGACACTGACTATGACCCACCTGCCACGTCTGGGAGGCTCCTTACTCTGCCAGGAGAGAATCTCTAGTTTCCAGACCCTGAAGAGGCCTGGGGATTCCTAGCAGGAAGGATGGCAGTATGGCACTTGGGGGACAAGACACCGAAAGTGTCCATTATATAACCCACACAATCGTTCACCCACAGATGTGGCTGTAGTAGATGTATGAGTTGAATACTTATCTTGGTCATCCCTGTCATTCTTATTTTGTTGGGACTGCAAGATGAAAGAGCTAACCTGTGCTATTTTGTATGTCCTTTCAATTTGTCCACTACTTTAATCCATCTCACAGGATGGTGTGGAAGCCGAAGTGAAAGCAATATTTCCAGCAGGGTACTAGTCTTCAGGGGGCTCTATGTATAGCCACTTCTTGGTCTTTCTTCCCCTACTTGTAACGGGGGCTGCCTGTAGCTGACCATATACCCTGCCCTGCACAGAAGCAGGGCTAATCTAGGGCTATTAGTTATCTACTAGGTAGCTGTCAGTGCCTGCAAGAGAAAGCCAGTGTGTACTGGCCTGACACCCCATGGACCATCAGAAGCCAGGCACCCAGCAGCACAGACTAAAGAAATGCCAGAGCCAGTAGTGTGACATACAAGGAAGTCTTTACCGCCCTCAGGCCTGTAGAACCACTCCACCACGGTGGTGGCCTCCACCTCCTCCCTCTTCATACAGGAGATGCAGCGAAGCTTCATGGAGTTGCCCTGGACGGCCTCTGTCTCCGAGGGCACTTCCACACACACAGGAAAGCAGACGCTTACTGGAGAAGGGTAGAGGTGAGGGGTCGGACAGTAGGCAGTGGGAAGAGGGGCAACCAGAGGGAAAGAGGGAGAGAAAACAGAGAAGGAAGAACCATGAGACAATCTGAAAAGAGATGCGTCCATGTGTCTATACCGTCATCTGCGCCCCGCGAGCACACTTGCTAGGAACAGGCACACAGCGAGATGGAGGAGATGCGGATGGATAAGGGTTGCCTGGATGTGGAGAGCTGCAAAGGACCGCGCCTACAAGATGGCGCTGGTTTCCGCCTTCCACCCCCTGTGGGTGAGCGCTCTCTGTGCACAACAACTCCTTATATGGCCAGGGCTGCAGTTGAGTGTCCAGGGCTAACAACTCCTTAGATGGCCAGGGCTGCAGTCATGATTTGCTTCCGCATATGCTGGACCCATGGGCGAACCCCACGTGGCGCACTGTGATTGGGCTTGGGAGTATATATTAGCTAAGGGCTGGGGGATTGGGAAAGAAGAAGCTTGCTGTAAGGGGCCTGAATAAACCGCTGAAGGAAGAGCTGTGTGTTGCGTCTTCCTTGCTGGCAAGGTCGTGCGCAACACCTGGAAGCAGTGAAGTTGCAGCACAAGACAGACTTGAGCCTGGCTCTTTTAGCTTTAGTCTAGGTGGGAGGCAGGGCACGCATCTGCCCATCACCATCACTATCATCCAACAAGCATTCACTGAAATCCACTCTATAACAGGTGAGGTACTACACTGGAGATACGAAAATGGAGAGAACACTAACCACAACCTAGGGCACTCATAACCTTGACATTTATGTAACTAGGATTAGACTAGACCTCAGAGGGCACTAGACTAGTGATATCTGTAACCCCAAAGAGAAGGGAGATATTTGTTACTCCTGGTTGGGTCTAGGAGAAAGAAACAGAATGCTGTTGATATATGAGCTACAAAGGCAGACAGGATCCATGCCAGGCAGGCCTCTGTGTGTCCTTCGTAGTTCTCGTAAGCTGTGGAGAGACGCAGTCACACATCTGGGATTCATGGAAATATGGGTGAGTCTGAAACTTGGTAGAGGCAGCAGCAAGAAGCATGGTGATCTGATGCCTAGGCCAAAAATTTTTTTTTTTTTTTTTTTTGTGCTATCAGGGATCAAACTCAGGATCCTGCACTTGCAAGGCAAGCACTTATTCCACTGAGCTATCTCCCCCGCCCAGGCTAAGACTTGATTCAGAGTAAGAAGAGACACAGCTAAACATCTGGAAAGGTCAGATCATGGCTCACCGGGCCTGTGAGAGATGCACATCTGGACTCATAGTTCCTGCCCTGAGAATCCCTAAGTCCACTTAAAGATTTCAAATATATCAGATTGTGAATTCAGAACAAATTAAAAGTAGCACACAGTTGCCAACAAAATAAGTGCAAATGTGGGCCGCATTAACAGATGTACAGTGTGCAGAAGGGAGGAGGAGGAGGAGGAGGAGGAGGAGGAGGAAGAGGAGATACGCAGTGTTCAGAACAAATCTGGCCTGTGGTAACCAGCAGGATGTCACATTTTACAAAAGGAAGTTGTTCAACAATTCTATTTAACTACAGCAACTAATTCCTCCACCACCCGCCAAAGATGGCAACATGACAAGGGGCTTGCAGATGGTGTGGTAAGGAACAAGCGGAAGGCTGTGGAGAGCTGAGCTTGGACAGAAATCTGCCTTCAAATATATGAAGGGCAGTAAGTAGATGAGAAATTTGATCTTACCCAAGTTCAAAAGTACAGAGAAGCCAGGTATGGTGTTCATGCCTGTGAATCCAGCACTTGGGGAGGCTGAGGCAGGAGAATTGCAAGTTCCAGTCTGGTCAAATTAGAGATTTAATGAACCTATCTCAATAAGAAATAAAAATTAAAAAGGCTGGTGATGTAGCTCAGCATAAAAGCCCCAGTACCGAAATACAAATGCAACATAAAAAGAAAGTTCAATTCCTGGTACTGGGAAAATAAAAAAGGCCCAGAGATGTAGCTGAGTGGTAGAGTGCTTCAAGGACAAGCACAGGCCCTGCACTCAGCCTCTAGAATTGTGGAGTGCATGGCCTGGGATGACAGTCAATTTGGGAGATGGTTTCACTGGGGGGAGGTCATGGCAGAACCACTAGGGCTTGAAAGGGAATCACTTGTGGGATGACTGGAAGGAAGCTGAAGGCAGGCAGGCAGAGTCCCAACAGTGAGGATGGTACATGTGGAGCAGCCTTTCTCTTTTCAGTGATAATAATCCAAAGTATCACCACAGAGCAAGCCCCACTGCTTCCTTTCTGGTGGCCAAAGCCCAGTTTCAAGGCACCGCTCCTGCAGTCTTGCACAGTACATTGCAAAATGGCCTTGAAGTTCTCCCACCCCATTTGCTTGCCCCTTGCAATGTGACTTCCTGCCTTTTCCATCCAAAGGTGGAGTCGTTTCTCTGCCCCTGAGTCTCCAGCACACCACTGCCTTTCTTTCTATGAAGTCCTCTGTGTAGCCAAGAAAAGACTGCACATATGGTAGGAGGTCGACCCACATGATGACTATAAAGGATGAGCTTGTAGAATAATGTTGGCCCAATCCTTTGACTTTTAGACTCCTCCTGAATTTCCACAGTAATAATGCAGACACTGATAGATAAGGATACAATGTGTTAATGATGAGTCTATTTAACTATAGCGAACTAATTCCTCTACCACCTCCAAATCTTTCTTTTCCTTGGCCATTATCAGATTGCCTCCACTAAGCTTGCTCTAAAATGCTTTCTTTGCATTGATATTATAAAGGTTTTAATTTTAGCATGCAAGTATTTCCAAAAGGGGGGTTATAAATGAAGGTAGTTTTAGATGTTATGATCCCCAAATGACTTGTTCTATCAGATCAGCGAGCTACCTAGCAGGGCCTTGAAGGAATGAGACGCAGGGAGTGCTGCTTGTGGAAGACAGGAAAGGATCCTTACTGATGGGACATGGGAGAATGGGCCTGGAGAGGGAAAGCAGAGAAGGCACTCAGAGCTGAGAAATGGTGAGGGCCTAAGAAAGGGGACAGTGTCAGGGAGGAGGAGAGGGAGCTCAGGGGACAATGGCAAGACAGCAATTGCTCTTGGCAGAACATGAGCCCATAAAATGAACTAGAAGTAGCAGAAGACAAGAGGTGTCCAGCAACCCCTTTCCATTTTCTGAGTTCATTTTTCTCATTTCTAAGCTGGATTTTTTTTTATATACCAGGGATTGAACTCAGACTAAGCTGGAAATAACATTTTTTTCCCCCTGCTACCCCTTATGATTGATATGGGGGCCAAGAGAACTAATGGATTGAAAATTGCTTTGTAAATGGTGAAGCATCAGAAAATGTAACCTTTTAAATTATCCTTATTGTATATCCTTTAAAAAGGAAATAAGGAAATTGCTTTCAATAAGGCAGAAAGTAAATGGAGAAGATTCCTTCTATTGAGCATCATGTGAAAAGTCATCTTGGAAAGGGGATGTAAGTCTGAGTTAAGTGCTTTCCAATATTAGAATTACATGCAAATAAAATGAACTTGCATTTGTATGTTAGGCTCTTTCTCTTACATTTAACAACCAGGCATCCTGAACCTCTTATCTTTCCCTTCTGGAGCTTTTCAGATTGGTTAGACAATGTGCAGGTAAGCTGGATGATGTAATGTTTACAGTTGTTTCAAAGGGTTTGGGTGGCAGGGTGGGGATGGACACTTTGCTCATTCTAGTAAAATTCTGTAAAAATTGCCCTATCACTCAGTTGTGAAGCTGAGAAGGACATTAGATATCTGTGCCAATTTTCAAGCTCTACATAGCAGGAACCGGATATTATGAGGTTGTGATGTAGTGAGATGGAGGTAGAGCTAAGGCTCCATCCCGGGTTTTTTTCTTTTTGAGACAGAGTCTCAATATGCAGCTCAGGCTGGCCTTGAGCTCACTTTGAAGCCCAGGCTCATCTGGAACTTGCAATGATCCTCCTGCCTCAGCCTCCCAAGTGCTGGGATTACAGGCTTTGTTAATTTTACTCAAAAATTCTTGGACAATAGTATGCATCTCTCTCTGCACTGGAATTCAGGCAGGGACCCCACAGACTTAGAGTTTTTCTCTCCAACTTCTTTGCAATCATTCTTTCCAACTTCAGCTTTACTTATACCCTCTCTAATCTTTCCAAACTAAGCTCATCTAAGCTTCACAAACCTAACATTTCCCTGGGGCAAATCTAAGCTTTAGTCTTTAAGACAAATGAGCTCACAGGCAACCTATTATGTCTGCTGTGTCTCCAAGTCTGGTGTACGCTATGGGGGATAGATGGTGGCGAACCTGCCCTTGGGACTAGTACTACCCTCCCTCCTCACCTTTCACAGTCTGTCTCAGCAGGAATTTTGCTCAACAGAAAGCTTCACTCTGCCTCTAGTCCCATGCAAATTTCAGATACTTCTGGAGCTACATTCATCTCTAAAGCTTGACAAAGTGAGACTAAGGCAAAGAAAGAGGCAGTTCTCATCAGCATGTCTGCCACTGCATGGGCAGATTGAGTTTCATGCCAACCACAGGAGCAGAATCTCACGTACCTACTTGGGTACAAGCCAATGATCTTGTTCATTGATTTTACTGTGAAAGAAGGTAGCCAAGATCATCTACAGCAATCTGTCAGCCAAAGAGCACCTATATTCAATCTGAAGCTCTAGTCAGAGTCAGCAGGGCAGAAATGCCCAGAATGGCATGGCACTACACACACACACACACACACACACACCCACACACACACCCACACACACACACACACACGGGCACCCTAACCAATCCATTCCAATGCCCATATTAACTACTCAGGCACATGCTAGTACACACACGCAGACACTAAGATATACATTGACACACATTCAGACGTTATCCTGTGGACTCGTTAGTCCATTGGCACACCTCTAGGCATCCACTCCATGCTCATCCCTGGCACTGCTCTACCTAGCCTTGTGTTGCAAATGCAGGAGACCCTTATCTGGAGGGGGAAGGTCATCTTAGCCTGTCACTGCTGATAAACATCTCTGAGGGCAAACAACCCACATTCCCAAACACCAAAATAGTTTGGCTCCACATGTCCATGCATTTTCCAGTTACCTGTTCACTTAACACATATCACATATGGCTAAAGCCTGTTTTCTTTCCACTCATTATTAAAATGAAGCAAATAGATCAACAAAGTATTTTCACTCTTGAAATTCATGCACCTAGATTTGAGCTCTCTTTTTTAACAAAGGAAAATGCATTTGAAGACCCAGTTAGCTTTTCTAGAAGAACTGGCTCCTCAGTGAAAAATGATATACAACTGCAAGCAAAATTTCTTTTCTGTCATGAACGTGTCTATATTCTCTGTTGGCAAAGGGACAAGGGAAAAATAAGAATGATCAGGATAGGAAGAGGGGTGGAAAAAAACACAAGAAAAGGTGGGGATATGGGGAGATACCTTTCCAATGTCAAAATTCCAGCTCCCATGAAACCCACAGGAATCTCCATGCCTGGCAGACATGCACAGAAGGAAGCCAACCAGAGCTCCTTTTTTTTTTTTTTCTGGTCACCAACGACATCAATGAATGTTATTATTATTAGCCTGATTACTATCATCTGCGGCTCGCATGGCGGGGTGCTGGTACTTACCCCAGTAGATCAGCACGAGAGAAACCAGGGGAAACAAACTGTGGAAGGCCGGCATCTTTTGGGGCGGGTGGCTTCCGGGGCTAAACAGAGAGATTCCCTCAGTCAAGGACTGCGTTCTCGGATTCTTTCGAGGAAACCCTTTGGGACAAACTGCCCCAAGAGGGCGACTTTCGGACAGGAAAAAGCGCCAGGAGGCTGGCCTGGGGAAGCTCTACGCGCTCTTTGAGCCGGGAAGGGTTTTCGGCTCGGAGCCACCGCGCAGACCTGCCCAGTTCGCGGGAGCGGATCCCCGGCTTCGCTCTCTCCCGCGAGCCCGCTGCTGGAATATGGATCAGCACCACGGACAGCAGCTTCCCCGCCCACCCAGGAACTTCAAATTCCAGCTGGCGCCGCGGCGAGCTGGGCTCGGCCGGGTTTCTCACCCTGGCCCTGGCCCTAGGAGGCTACGCCGCCGAAGGGGTCCATGTTGATTCACCTCTGCCTCCCCTACAACAGCTGCGCTCGGCTCGGATCCCCGAGAGCCGGAGCGCCCGCTTCTTCCGCCCCGCCCGGCGTCTCCCGCTGGGCGTGTCCGTGCTGGCGAAGCTGCCCGTCAGCCCGTCTGGTCTACAGAATCCGGTGCACGTCTGTCGTGCTCACAGCCTCGGCTCCCCAGAGGGATCGGAGGGTCCAGGAAGGAGACGCAAATCCTGTCGGGTTGGCGACCTCAGACAGGAGGGTGCAAGGAGAGGGGCCGCCCCTTCCCCGGACTCGGCCCTGGGTTCTGCGGGGCGCCAAACCTGGGGCTCCGCCAGCGACCCGCTGCCCCTCTCAGCGCCTGGCCGTGTGCGCAGGCGACTGTCCGCCCCAAGGCCACCACGGACCCTCCCCCTTGGGCGCTCACTCCCCACCCCCAAACCGACGTGCCCCTCCCAGGGCCGAGCACGCCGCCGAGCGAGGCGGAGCCGGGCGCGGCGCAGTCACTTCGAGCCCGGCTCCCTCTTGTGGACTTCCTCTCGCGCGCACTCAGCCTCCGCAGATTATTCGGACACCATCGCCCTGCGACTCCCACCCTGCAGGCGGCGACCCCTCTCCTGCCCCCGCACAGACGTGCTTGCCTCCAGCTCCGGGAAGGGGAGGGCCAAATCTCGTTGAGGCAATGATGTCATCCTCAATGTACATGGCTCCCGGCTTCTTAACACAAGCCCGAGCCCATCCCCTCTAATACCGCCTGTACACACTGTCTGGCCTTGACTAATTGATCCCCAGCGAGACCGTCCAGTGCGGAATAATGAAACACACCTGTTCGCGTGCTCACCACATCCCGAGGGAGGTGATCCAAATGTCAGCGCGGGAGAAGCCTGGGGTGGGGTCAAAGAGGACTCCTTCCCTTTCCAGATTCTGTGCAGCCCTCTTATCGCGCTAACTTTTCTTGTTTTAAGTAAAGCAGTTAGGTTGTCGCTGGCGTTTTCCGGCTACAAGCTACGCCCCAGCTCTACAGCTGCTTGAGTGTCCCCTCCCAATTTCTGCAAGGGAAACCTAAACCTCTACACCAGGCTATAAACTCACGTTGACATAAGAGATAGGGAATGCCTGGAAGTGAAATGAGAGATTAGGAAAGATTGGCACAAAAACCTCATCCCGCCGCCCTCTTTTTATCCCCTCCTGCTCTCTTGCCAAAAGAGAAGCTTAACACGGATATTCCAAAAGGGAACACGGAGTAACAGCTGAGCCTAAGTGCTCAGGAAACCCTCTCCAGCCATCACACACAGAGCAGCAGAATGTCACCAGTCATGTCTTCCTGGGCACCGAGCCACAGGCCATAAACTGTGTTGTTTGGGGATCAACTCTGACAGCATACTACGTTGTGCTTGCATGGAAAGCTGAGGTAGACTTGGCCTCCGTTCCAAACCTCTGATCCCAAGAATGGTTCTGATTAGCATGCTTGACCTTTATCTTTGTGGGAACTTACTTTTTCACAAGTTCATCTCTTTTATGTTTAAGAAAGCTTCAATTCTACATCTTTCTTCTCTTAAGTGCTCCTAATATATAGGTCTTGTTTCCTAAGACCTGTGCTTCTTCCATGCTAACCACAACGACTTTTTTTTTTTTTTTGTTTTTAAATCTGGTGCTAAGCTTCCTCAGTTACTTCCAGTATTCACTATTTTTAATAGCCTCTTTCTTTCTTTCTTTCTTTCTTTCTTTCTTTCTTTCTTTCTTTCTTTCTTTCTTTCTTTCGTATCAAGGATCGAACTCTGGCCCTTGTGCTTGGCCTAAGCAGGTGCTTTAGTCTGCTGAGCTATCTGGCAGGCCTTTAAATTCTTTTTGTTGAATCACGGTCTTTCTTTCTTTCTTTCTTTCTTTCTTTCTTTCTTTCTTTCTTTCTTTCTTTCTTTCGTATCAAGGATCGAACTCTGGCCCTTGTGCTTGCCAGGCAGGCTTTTGTGTCACTGAACTATCTTTCCTGGCCCTAGTGTTCAATCTTAAAGCACCCTGGTCACTTTCTTACGAGGATTTTCCGTTTACCAATGTACTTCTCAAAGTGGCCAGTTTTCTTCATGTGAGCTAATCAGCAAAAATCCAGTGGAATCGTGGCTGTACTCGCTTGAGGATGTGTCAGTTTAAGCACACTCGAGTTACTTCTTAGTCATGAGTTTGTGTTCAGTTAAAATCCCACGGTACTTTTCCTTCACCGTGTTGCAGAATGATTTGTAAATGAACAGTGGATTTTGGAAATTTAATTATCACCCTTTCCATGTACTGATATTAAAATTTATTGGTTTCAACCAAGTATGGTATCATTCTGTTAATATTTTTTTTAATGGAGTTGTGACCCACTCACCCAATGTATTTCTCCTCTTCAGCTTTCTTCTGTCTCTGGACTGGGCAATCATTGGATCCACACTGAGTTTTTGAAACATGAATAGGAAAAATGAAGACAGAGATTCCTTTGTCATGCTCCTAAAATCTCACTCTACCTTGACAATGAACCACTAATTAAACTTTAGTACAATTGTTCAATCATAAACACTCAAACTTGTCTTTCTATTTCCTATATGTGAAGCACAACACAGTTTGAAAATTTAAATAAAACTCATGTGAGAGAAAGTAGATTTGTAATAATCCATAGGAAAAAAGTAGGATCACTTATTATTTACATTTACATGGCAATAAATTTTTGGGAATACATTTCAGACCATTCCAAAATGTAATGAAGTACCTATGGTTTTACCAACTTGAAATTCATAAAGTGATAGATCTTTTTCAGTCTGATGATTTCATCAATCACCATCCAAATGACCACATCAGGTTGAGCTTCACTTTACAAATTTTAGGCCCATTTATATGTGTTCTTAATATTTGTAATGCTTTCATTATTTATTTATTTATTTTTAAAATTTTATTTATTTGCGTGTGTGTGTGGCCAGCTCAGCCCACCAGGGGGCGGGGCTGGCTGGCATGTGGTGCTGGGGGATTGAACCGCGGTCCCTGTGCTTTGCTAACCTTGTTCTAAGTACGTGCTTTACACCACTGAGCCATCTCACCAGCCCCTGTGATGCTTTCATTATTCAACCCCATTTTATTTTATTTATTTTTTTGCTAGCTCAGCCCACCATGAGGGCCGGGTTGGCACAGCATGTGGTGCTGGAGATAGAACTGCGGTCCCCTGTGCCTGCCTAAATTTGCCTAAGCAGGTGCTTTAGACCACTGAGCTATCTTGCCAGCCCTCAACCCCATTTTAAACAGTGACTTAGAGGATTTTACAACAGGTTTTGGGAAAAAAATCTTTTTGCCTCTGGTTCCTATAAGCCACTTTTTGTGGCTCTCCTGTCTTGAAAACAGCAGCATTTGTTCTCTTCAATATTCTGCTGTTTTAGGGCTGGCCAAATAGTTCAGTGGATTAAAGCATAAGCAGGTGCAGGCCCCCACCCCCGGGATGCGCTGAGACAGTAGTTGAGACTGGGCATGGTGGCACTGTAATCCCAGCTCTTGGGAAGCTGTAAACAGGCAGACCACTATAGGTGTGAGCTAGTAGTGAGACCCTGAACACTATGTAGATCCTTCCCTAAAATACGAAAAAAAATCTGCTGTTTCCTTGATTTTTTTTACAGTGATTCTCAGTCACTTTTGCAAATGCCTGAAGTCTCCTGAACCACACTTTTTGTTCATTTGCAACTGTCTTGCAGCATTGCTCAGGACTGCGTTGCAATCCTCTCGTCTCGGCCTCTCAAGTTCTTGTGATTACAAACATGGCCCGATGCACCTAACTTTTGAGAACTCTTACACTGAAAATGATTAAGCCACCTCTGCTGCTGCTTTAGTTTCAATCCTTTCTCGTTGGTGTTTATTTGGTCTTTTCCAGCTTGATGACCATCTTGTCCTTACAGTTCACGGGTCAAACTATTTTCCAAACAATATACACAACAATCTTTATATTCTATACATTGTCCTTTGGTGTCCATGGAGAAATAATTCCGCAAACCAAGATTCAAAGGTGCCAAGTCCTTTACATAAAATGCCATACTATTTGCGCCTAATGACACATCCTCCCATGTACTTTAAATCATCTCTAGAGTCCTTATAAGTCCTAATACAATGTATAAAAGTTGTTGCTATACTGCATTGTTTGGAGAAAAGAACATTGCACAGATTTGATACAGACATTATTTATTCCCAGAATATTTTCTATTTATTTAGTGGAATTTATAGATGCAAAACCTGTATACATGGAGCCGAGTGTGCTTCTCTACTTAAAGCCCCCCATGGCATCTCCCTGCAGCTAAACAAAATCTGGAATTCTCCCGAGGGCTCAGCAAGTTTGGCCATGAGCTAGGCTACCTGTCTACACACACACATCCACTACTCCCTGTCTTGCCTGCCATGTTCCAACTGCACTTAATTTTTAAAAACTCTACCTCAAACTTACCAAGATATCCTCAACTATTAGCTTAGTGCTTTCACCCAGTGTCCTCTGCCTAGAATGTTCTTTGTCCTGCCGCTCATTTCTTGCTATTTTGGTCTCACCTCAAATGCACTGGTCCTTCTTTCTAGACTGGCCAGCGCCCCCCTCGCTCACTCATAGCTCTTTACTCATTATGCTGTTTCTTAGGTCTGTTTTCGCTGTAAGCATTTACTTTATTTCAGTTTATGTACTTGCTTGTTTTCTGTCTTCTCCCATCAGGGCATTTCTTCTCTATAAAAGCAGGCTTTGCTGTTCTATGTTCTCCTGCCTACATTGGTACCAGGAAGGCCCAAGTCTTCTTTGGAAAAGACACAGATCTACAAATAAATGAATGGATGAAGGACTGAGAGTAGTGTGGATGGAGTGATGGGCTAAAGCCAGAATCGATACAGGGCACAAAAAAGGAATCATTAGAGAAGTAGGAAAAGGTCCAGCTAGACTCAATGCAACAGTGGCCAGGAGGGAAGAGAGCTTTCAGACCCAAGGGACACTCTTCCTGGGAGGGACTCAAGCTAATTAGGTTCAACGATTGAGGAAAGCTGGTGTGGTGGCACGTCCCTGTAATCCCAGCATTTAGGAAGCTGAGGCAGGAGGATTGCCCGAGTTCGAAGCCAGCCTGGACTGTATAGTGAGTTCAAGGCCAGCTTTAACTACATAGTGAGACCATGTCTCCAAAAAAATGTTGAAGAATAGGTTAGCACAGTAGTACAGAGTCTGAGGTGTTCAGAGGTTTTGATGTGGAGAAGATAAAATGGGTGGTGATGAAGGAAGGCTGGCCTCTCTGATATGCACTGGAAGGTTACTTTTCCAGAGGGAAGAAGCCCATTTTTCTGAGCTTCTTGGGAAGATGTTAGGGACAGGAGTGGTGGCAGTGATTTTATGAGTAAAGAAGAGAGCTGAGGAGGTGGTGCATACCTGAAGAGCCAGTAGTCTGGGATGGCTGAGGCAGGAGTGTGACAAGTCCAAGCCAACTATGGGCAACTCATCAATTTAGTGAGTCCCTGTCTCAAAATTAAAAATAAATACTAAAACCTGGAGATGAAACTCAATGCTAAGTTTGATCCACAGTACAAAATAATAATAATAATAATAATAATAATAATAATAATAATAATAGGATGGGATCTTAATCTACACATTTTGATTTTGACTCCAAATGCCTTCAGGGCAGGTTTGGCTGGTTGGAGTTGTGGGGATAGAACCACAGCACAGCAACCTGAGGCTGACTGGTTTGTTGAAGCAGCCACTTAAAGAACTGAGCTAAGGGGCACACCCCTCACATTTTGATTTTGGTAAAGCCATATTGTCCCTACAGCGTAGGTAGTGTGGAGACCCAGGGGAATGTGAGGCTGGGGAGATGTTGTGATTCACTGGGGGAACTTTCATGAAGC